AGTCCACTTCATCAGACACAAAAGGTATTGGAAGTAACAAAACCAATACTGGTCGCAGAACTTGCCAGCATCAGAATCTCTTAACACTGCAACGACATACTAGTAAGAACCCAGCAAGAAGAAGGACAAATCTACTGCTGTAGAGCCTCTCTTGGGCGTTCCTCATTAAAAAGAATGCCCATTGAAAGCAACGGATGGGATTTTACTACATTATAATAATAGTACACTGTGGTTTAGTGGATAGAGCGATGGACTAGCATTCAGGAAGCCTGGGTTTGAATTCACACTCAGTCATGGAAGTTCACTGGGGTGTGTGAAATGTATAAAACCACTCCTTAGATATCTCACTTACCTTGAATGTCCTATTAGTGTGACTGTAGGTCAGGTTCTTACTTGACAGAGCACATAAAAACAACATTAACTATACTAACTCAGGATGCTATGCCAAGTTTTGGCACAGACCTGCAGGCTTCCTCAGAGTGTGGCTCATAACTGGAAAAAATGTAGATATGTTCCCCAGTTGTATCCCCTCCATAACAGACTCCAACCCCTGTCTTTAGATATGAACTAACCATGGAAATTTCCATTGCAAAACTACAGCCTTAGTCGTTTACAACATCTGTCCTTTTAAAAATAAACTACAATAAAGAATTAAGAGATATGCAGATTATAAAAGGCAAACATTATTTTTTTATGCACTGTTATAGTTCTTAACATGGAAAGACTTAATTACGCGTTTCAACTGCAATTTAGGATCACATTGCTAAAAAAACTCAATTTCACATCTCCTAGAAATATACAGTGATACCTAGAATCTGAACTTCCCCTAGGTACACAAGTAATCAGAATTTACCATATCCTTTTAAACAGAACATGAATGTCAATGACGTTCACAAACCTGCCAAGGCTATGATTGGGCATTAGAGATCTAACGACTATTTAACACACTTACAACAGAATGCAGTTTTTAAAACTTAAAAATAAGCATTTTTAACAGAGAGAGGCAGAAATAACAAACATGTCAGAGGTGGAATTGACTCTGATACATTCATTTAAAACCAAGAACGCAGTTACACAGCAGACTGCTAAACGAAAGGGGAGAATTTATATTAAAATTCATACAGTCCCCTTTTTCCTCGAAAGAGCTCAGTTAACTTTGTAGCAGATATAAAGGGATGGGGTTAGGTAAGTAGTTTACAATTAAAATGTAGTTTTTGAAATTTATTTATTGAACAGATATCTCATCTTTCTGCTAGAGTAATGCTCAAGGTAACATCTGAAAAAAATATTTAGTCAGTTCTAGTGTTCTGTATAGTTAAATATACTGATTTCACACAATTAAATTAAATTTGGGTTTAGGTCAGTGTCTTTGAATTAAGGGATTTGAGTTACCTGTCAACACCAAGGAAAGACACTTTGTAGACATAATCAGAATTTTGAAACTCAGATTTATTTGCTGAGCTGCTGAATATCTAAACTCAAAGCTTAAAACTCTCTAGGCTAAAGTTCATTATCTCTTAATTATTCTCCTAACTGAAATTCCATTTTGAACAGTAGAGATTTTCCAGGTTGACGTTAGAAGACATCAACCTTCCTTCCTAGTTCAACATTGTGGCCATGGAAACTCTCTCTCTCTCTCTCTCTCTCTCTCTCTCTCTCTCTCTCACACACACACACACACACACACACACACACACACACACAAAAATAGGGATGTACTGTGCATTCCAAAGGAACTCCTGTGTAAAAAACGTAATGATCACGGAATCTACCACAACTTCTTTCATTACATAGCAAAATATTAAACATCACAACTCCCTCAGCGTAAGAAGTGCACATTCAATTCAAACAATCAAGATGGAGAGATTATATACATGTAAACAAAATGTGCATCAACTCAATTACATCAAAATTAAATATAAAATAAATTTAAAATAAACATTCCAATTTCATACAACTCAAACACAGTATTCTCCATCCATGGTTTCTCATAAAAGCATACATGAAAGAAATCCATAAATCTTTTCAAATAAATTGAAACATCACCAGACAAGGAGCAATTCTTTGACAAGTAAAGACAACCTCTTCTTCTGAACACTTTATAGACACTTTGGGTTTGTTTCAATAATGTTAACACTGTGAAATATTAGGCATACTGTTGCAAGGAATGGTGGTAAAATCTCTAGCAGACTCTGGAGTCACTTAAATCAGACGGTGGAAAAGTGAATGCCATTTCAGAACACTGGGGTGAGAAGTAACACAATCTGTCTCTCTCTCTCTCTCTCTCTCTCTCTTTACACACACACACACACACAGAGAGAGAGAGAGAGAGAGAGAGAGAGAGAGAGAGAGAGAGAAATGTAAACTCTTTTACCACAGTAAGATTTTCATCTAGCAATACATTCTCCTTTCAACTGCAGCTAGAAGAAAATTCTGATGGAACTGGTTTATTTTACTGTTTTCTTCTTCTGCATTACATGTTTCTTTCTGACTGGCCACATAAAGAATCTCTGCCTCTACGCTTGCATCTGCTTAACCACACAGTTTTGATTTAACTTGCAAAACATATGGTAATCCATAACCAGAAATGCTGTAACTGGGGGGGGGATTACAAATTCACTTCCAGAGAATTATTATTCTACACAGAAAATAGTATTAGTTTTTGCACTCACTGGCTTGAACAAGAGAAGGCAGCAGAATAAATAATTGTAATGAAGTTTTTGAGCAGAGTATGTCCAACGTGTAAATGAAGTACCAGCACCGATTCACAACCCTTGACCCTGTAATATTCCTGACACTACAGCCCCACAATTGCCATGCCAAATGCTCCTCCAAGCTGTGTTTTTTTCTGCCCCAAATGCTAAAGGACTCAGTAAATCCTACTCCCACCTTAATTTTAACAGCTTAGGAAACAGTGGCACACATGCACGTGCATACAGATAATGGGAAAAACAGCAACAAGACATGATTATTGTACTGTAGCCTCCAACACTGCCTACACAAGGTGGCATAGTGGTAGCATGCAATTTACAATCTACAATCAATATGCAGGTCTCCCTCACAACATTTTTATACTGAGAGTGGTTTTATAATCTCAAGAATTATAGATTTTTCCTCCTCACCAAGCTTCCGCTTCCCATGTTTGCAAAGATAGTACAGTATTTGAAAATTTGAGTAGAAGAAGTATAAGGAACGAACAGGTAAGGGCAGAAAATGGATCCTTCTTTTACAGCATCACCTCATAATTGCTAGGATCCAATGCATATATTTTATGGTGACCAACGTGAATCTCCTTCACAGTAATGGCAAAAATGTCTTGGTGAAATGAATATCAATCATAGGAGTGGTTCAGCCATGTTCAAATGAAATAACAATTGCAAGCAAATTATATGCAAATTAGTTGCTCCCCTCCAGCTGACAATATTTCTAATGTGGCCCTTGCTGATGAACAAGCTGCTCTCCAACTGTGCTAGTAATACAACTGGAATTAGCCAATTGGTTGGATTACTCAGAATTTTTTTTACCCTACTTCAAATAACAACCTTTCCAAATATTAAACTTGGGGGAAGGACTCCTCCATCCTTAAAGGGGCCCAATTTTTTTCCTGCTGTCTGCTATTATTTCATAACCACTTCCAGTTAGGATTAAGGCACAAAATCAGTTAAAGACCAGAGACAAAAATCCTCAATTAATTAAATATGATGGTATTCAAAAACAGAAGATAAGGTGTGGTTTTGTTTTGCTTTTTGAAATAGAAGATTGAAAAGGGAAAGACAGAAAATGGGATAAAAAGGCAGCGTTCAGATCTATACCCTTAAGGTCTTTATTGGTAGGTGTTTTGCCTACAGCCTACCAGCTACCGAAAGAATATTTCACAGAGGGCCTCCTTATTCATCATATATAAATTGTTGGAGTCAAATAATCCTATTTCAATCAGCAGTTCACATAATGAAGCACACTCTGACAGGATTTAAAGGCATATGCCTTCAGGTTTACTGAAAGACTCTTTCCTTTTTTGTATGTTACTTTTCAATGTTTTTCAAATGAGTTTGGAATCATATTTGTTGTCACTTTCAGTCATGTCATACCTTTATATGACTGAGATATGAATTACTGACTGTTACATCCTTGTTGGGAAAAGAAGAGAAGATGGGAGAGGCGGGGGATGACAGATAGTTTGCAAGCCAATAAAACCAAGCACTCAACTGGAGAGATTAAACTTTGCAACTGCCTACACCTAAACTCTCCCTTTTCCCTCAAGCTTAAACTTAATGTCAGGATTTCCCTCTTCCACACACAAAAAAAGATTTTGAAATAAGTAAGTGCTGGATGTCACTGAACACTCTTCTCAGAGCATCTGCTGCTTAAGATCACCTTGATTGATGACAGCTATTTTTAATTGTTGCTTTTAAAATTTGAATGCTCCCATGAGACATTCTGTGAGTATATTAGCACATGGCAGGAGACTGTGAGGTGGGAAACACAGAATGAGTCTTCTCATATCATTAGCACCTTTGGAACTGAGATACTTAATTTACTCTAGGATATCACACACACACCCAAACAGATAACCATTTATTAGGGAATTTTTCAGTATCTACAAATAGAGACAAAGATATACACATACATGTTTGTTAGTTTCTGAATTTTATCTCGGCTTACTGTTAGCCAAAAGAAGGATTTCCAAAGTGTTTCCCATACAGAAAAAAATTTACTACCAGTTTTTAAAGTCGTAGATAATACATATAGTTAAAATTATGACATAATTTATTTCTTGTTTTTTAAAAAATTGTTGTAACATTTCAAAATAACGCATAGAATGCATTTTTAAAGCTCCTTGCATTACTCAGAAAGCAGTGACAAAATTCATTATATCATTATATCATTAGAATAATCTAATACTAAAAGCATAAGGCAACTTTTGCTTTTCCTTTAAATGTAATGCTGGAATGGAATAAGATTGCAGATTCATTAAGGAGTACAAAAAATAGAATTCTTACCTGTTTTTTCTTTGATTTCACACAAGACATTAAAAAGTGCTGGTTTCATTCTGTGACAGTTTAAAGCATGTTTTCTACAAGGAAACCAAAAGGATTATATTTAAGGCATGCATAGGAGCATCATTTTTTTAAAAAAATCAATGTAATGGGGATAGGATGTTTCTGCAAGAAAAATATTATAGGTTAAACTAAACCATTACTGAAAGTTTACACTTTTATATTGAACACTAGTCTGTTAATTCCTCAATAGTGTACATATGGCAATGCGAAAGTCACCAGTGTAGGAATGGTATAACAGCAGTATTTCAGCAGCATTCACAAACCATGCTTGCTGACCAAGATACAAAGAAGTTACTGCTAGGACCATGTACAAACCATTTCTAAGTCTAATGATGATATAATTAAACAGTGTATAGAAATGTTATATTTTTTCTCCCATCTTTAACTCATCCATGTGGTCCAATTCATTGAGCAAATACTGCTACACTGGCATACAGAATTTCACCTTCTGAGCTGAAGAATGCAGATACATGGAGGTGCTTTGCCAGGGAGAGCACATGTGTAATGGGGGTGGGGAGACTACAAAACTGATTTGTTTTATGCTCCTATTACTTTCTTTTCTTATCCAAAGGCATTAAGATTAGAGTACTTAAGGAAAACCGGGACATGAGTCAGAACAAAAAAAAATCAGTCAGAATGTTTATGGGTTCTTCCTTTTGCCTTCCTTCCTTCACCATCACACACACTGTAGATGATAGAAATTGAGATATTTGTTTATCAAGTTCATGTCCTGGTGGGTGTTCAGAGAACAGACCACTGTAGCATTTTCTGAATTTATATTTTTTTAGCCGCCGCAAAGTCTTATTCCTTATAGCAGCAATTACTTTGTGAAGATGTTTAATTGCACCAAACATCACATGGGTATTTAAGCAAAGATTACATATCATGAGGATATGAATGCTTAAAACCCACAATGAAATTCATGATAAGGCTCATGAAACTTTTGGACAATTCCCAATCTGTGCAATGGGGCTTCTACAGGAGAACCTCCCAAGGGATTCTACAGCATGTGTCAAATCTGTCTGTCTCTCATTCTGTTGCCTAAATGGCACCAAAACTCCTCTCACTGAGGTGAATGTCTCTCAATGTTTCACAGTTGGGCTGCCTCTATATAGTATCTCATACAGAAAACCTGTTTCGCCTTTAAAAATATATTTAACCAATCCAAAAACGAAAAGAAGACAACTGAAAGATTTTAGACACACCATCACACTCTTGATCTGGTATATATAAAAATAGATGGAGAACTGAATAGGTCAGTGAAGCTGAAATGCACAGTATTTTTATGCTAATTTTTAAGGGATCATTAAAAATCTAAATTAAAACAATTTACACACAGAAATAGTGCATAACATAACAGCTTTAAGTTTTCAGAAGCAACCTCTTTCTCCTGTTTTACCCTAATGCACTACAGGCAAACTCTGTTCAATATGAACTCTTCTTCTCCAAGCTCAAGTATTTTGTGCAATGCATTTCATTTAACTGGTGTTTTTCAGACTAATTATACCTGGGCTATTCAATATCTACTTACTCGAAAGTAAGTCTTTCTGAACTCAAAGGATTTGTTTCTGAATAGACATCTTTAGCATCACAAAGTTGGCTGGAAGCTAGTGACATGGGCAGTTTCCCACTGATAGAGGAACTCCAGCATTCTGCAGTTGATAATGGAAGTACCCATGTAAATAGCAAGACAAAAAATGCAGCTGAAATCCTAAAAACACTTATTCAGCCAAATACTAATGACCATCAGATGAATTTTAAAATATATTTTCCTTTCTTATCTGTTTTTGCCTTTGACAAATCCACATTTTTATACTTTCTGATTTTGTAAGGATTTTGTAGATTACAGTTTAAATACATTGTGCAGAATCTTGCATGCTTTAGTCATCAAATTCCATTTCCAGGTTTGGTTTTTTAAGGAAACTCCCCTTTCAAAAATAAACAAATGTATACAGAATATTAATGACTTCATCATATCAACAAAATGGAATATGTAATAGTAGATACACCGAAGCAATTCAAAGTAAGTCTAGTAATGACAGTCATATATAAAAATACCACCATCGCTCTAAAATTCAGTTTCATGAGCCACAAACTGTCTTGCTGGTTTATCTGACTAAATGAGCAATTACAAAAAAAAAATTGCTAGGGTAAAGCCAAATCTTTCAGTAATTGGTGTAATCTTATAATGTCCACAATGAAGGAGCTATACAGATGCCTACTAACACACACAACAGAAGAATGTCATACTGTTACTTCCATGGAAGCATGGTTTATATTGGGCAGATATATGTAAGAAGCCACATTAAGTGGCAATATTCTGTCAACTTCTGTATTCAAATTAATGTGGTCCACTAATTATTTTAGCAAAAATAAAACATCCTATTTGTATCTTTACAATGAACAGGAACATAAAAATAAACACAGTTCTAAATACAACCGCAACATTCAGCAATACAGGAAAGGCCACAATCTAACAAGCATTAAATGACATTAATCCCACGGATTTCAGTGGGATTACCTGCACTAACTTTTCTGGTCTGGGGCTAAGGAACTGAAGTACAATGAACCCAGAGTAATCAAGTTTCCAAGAAAGCAAACAAGGCCTTATATGGGATCTTCTTTTCCCCATTTCAAAAATAGAAATCAGGCTACTCTATTAACCTGTTTTTGTTTTGTTTTTGTTTAAAGTTTCAAGCCCTTTAAAATAATTTCTGGACCCTGTCATCTGTTCATTCGTGCACCTCAATTAGGTAGACAGGTAGGGAGGGATTCTGTACCTACCTAAAATAGAACATTCCCAAAGCTCACACAGGAGTATGATTAAGATTTCGGTCCTTTGACTAAACAAGTACAGGCAGCTATTTAAGTCTTTCAGCTCCTGCTCTATTACTAACACACACAGGAAACTCCAAAAGCCTGGGAAACGGCCAACCTAGCTGTTTAACCCTCCGCAATTTTATAAAAGGTGCTCAGAAAAGGATCGGCTATTCCCCTTCGGCACTATCTTTTTGTGTGCACGAGCGCGTGGTCGCGCAAGTAAACACATACATTTTTCGAAAATGTAATTCTAATCTATGTTACAGAAGGCATCCGATCAGGATTTTAATTTCCTCCAGAGTTACTTTCTTTCTAGTCTGTTAATGAGAGCACAAAGAGCATAGCAATGAGTTGAAGGCTTTACTGGACGAGGCTTCGGCTGTTAAAAAGAAAAAAAATGCACAAGAATGATCATTATTAGTATCACCCCCCCAATTTTCGGCACCACAACATACAAGGGAGGGGAAGGGCTCACCTGGCCTGCGCCTCGTCCAAACTCTGGTCGGTTATGGTCATGATCTGCTGCAAAATGTCCCCGATATCTTGTTTTCGGCCCCCCTCGCCTTCGGTGCCCCCGCTCCCGTCCTGCATGTGCTGGGACAGGCCGGGGTGCCCAGCCATTCCAACCCCGGCGTGGGAATGCATCAACCTGGGCTGATCATCCATCGCCAAGTCAAGAGCGCGGGCGGCCGCCCCTTTCCTTTTTTTCCCCCCTCTTCTTCTCTTGCGTCTTTCGAGGGCGCGCTTCTCAGGGCAAGAAGACCCGAAGACCGCTTCCTTCAGCTCCCTTGGCTTTCTCCTCCTCTGGCTTTTAAACAAATACTATTATCACACACACACACACACACACACACGGGGGGGGGGGAGGAAGGGGGGAGGGAAACACCCTGGGGTCTTTTTTTTCTGCAGCGAGGCAGCCAGTTCCTGAAGACAAGAAGGGGGGGAAAATCTCCTTTTTTTCCCTTGGCGCACTTGGCGGCGACGTTGGAGGCGAGGAGCGGGCTCGGGAGGGCTCGCTTTTTTTTCTTGTCCGTCCTCTCTGTCCCAGGCAGAGACTTGCCTTT